AGTACTAATAGCCTAATCAAGTTCTTCAATCAAATCATTGTAAGGGGTATCAACTTTATCTTTTGGCTCAGAAGGAAGAATTTTTTGCCTGTTGTTTATTATAGCATAGTTTTCTGCAGGGGAATGTGGACCATCTGGAGAATGTCTCAGTGCTTTTCTTTGGATATTTAATCTGTCAGCATCATTGCATCCTTCATGTACTATGCAAGCATGATCTGCGCCAATTTTTCATAAATCGCCTGGCTTAAGATTATATTTTTTCAGAAATTTATTTAACCATTTAACACCTACAATACTGGGATCACGTAAATGACCATTTTTTATCGCTGTTTGAATCCAGATAAGTAGTTGGCAAGCGCTTTCTGGATCTTTTTCCATCGAAAGAAATTCCCGAGGATGGTTTTTATGATTTTTAGCATAACTGGTTGCATACCAATTACATCCAGGAACCCACCATTCAGGAAGAGAATCGGAGATGAGTCCTTGACTCGAAGCTTTGTTTCCTCGATGCACTGCATCATCATTTGGTGATTCGAAATAAGAAATTCAGAGAGTTGTTACTTCAGCTGGCCTCATACAGAGCATTACCATTACATCTGCAAGAGCTTGAATGTCGGGCGATTTAGCAGTATCATAGCTTTGGAGTCTTGCATTTATAGATTCTAAACTAAAATGTTCGGAAGGGGAAATTCCAATTCTTGCACGAAGCTTGCGATTTTCAGATTGTTTCCTGTTTGACTCCCGAGTGATACCATCAGTGTCTTGTAAAGCATCGATTACCTTTTCAGAAGCCCCTTTTTCACGCAGACCATGCCGAATACGTTTGAGTTCTGAATCAATTGCAATAACATTCTCTGGTGTTGCATATGTACTCTCAAGAAAAATTATAGTAGACGCTTCGCCAATTGGATCAGTAGATTCCATAATTTTTTGAACTTTATTTTTTACAGTATCTGGCTTGCTCTGTTTTCTTTGATCTGGCAGGAGTGCTGATATTTGTTCTGGGCTAAACTTAAGATCTCGGAGACAGGTTCTTGCATTTTTACGAATGCGCCAGTCAGGAATTTTAGTGCGGAATTCATTGGCATAGGCACTTAGCTGAGACGGCTCCATCTGAGGAGTTAATCTATATTTTTTTACGATTTCACTTGTGATGGCAGACATTTTAATAGTAGGTATAACTGGTGGGTATGAATAGTAGAAGTAACTATGACTATGTATGAAATATATTCTTTCAAATTCGAAATTAATTACCCGCCCTTTCGATAATGCTTCGCAGAGTACACAGTGCTCTAGATCTTAGGAGATATGACTGCCTTATCCATGGATGAAAAAGTAATAAACCTAGACTATAGGTCGTACCCAAAACCTGGCAAGTCCGGTATACGATTCTCAATCATAGCAATTTGTATACAAAATTTATCCTGCTTTTTTTGTTGATAATATTCTCTTTTTCGATACTTACTTGCATGATTCCAGCATGCATCATATTTAGAATAAGTTAGCTTACCACAACCATATTCTTTACAAGAAATCTGTGTAGGAGAATTTCAATGAAGTTTACATCCTTCTGGTTGATTACAACCTCGACCACAGACTTTACCAGTTCTAAGAATATAAGGACAACAATAGAGTCCCATATTTATTGTCAATAATAATGATATAGAATAATTAATTTCATTTTAAAGTTTTTTGGGTTAAGTATAATACTTTTATTTCTGGGTTAAGTATAATACTTTTAATTTACAGCCATATACCGTGTATAACATAGCGGGTATTCGATTTTACGAAATGATCAGCATTAGTTTCACAACATATAAATCATATACAAATGACCTGTCATCTGACTTCGGGTGAATTCGCTGCCACAGAAATCAATTCGCTGACAATATAAACAGGATATTCTAATACCTTACATTTTATTCAATATATTACCAAAGTAATTTGGAAAAAGGTGGAGTAATTCAGAAGTTAGCTATAGAGACTTTTTTTTCAATCTGTTATTTATATATTTCCGGAATTAGAATTTATTTATTTTTATTATATTTATTTTTTAGCAAAATGTCTACACAACATTCATCTAGTGAAAAAAAAAACAAAAGAAGAGCAGTACACTGTGATATGGAGGGACAAAGTGATGTTATTTGTGATAATGATAAGTATGGTGCTTCTATAATATCTGATAAAGTGACTATTCCAGATATTAACAAACATTTAAATTTGGTTGGAAAAGCGTTATGTAGAAGGCATTATAATAAATTAATTGTTAATACTAAAAAAATCAAAATAACTAACACTTGTTCACATCCCAAGCATGATATTTATCTTTCTACAGAACGAAAGAAAAAGGAAATGCATTCAAGAAGACACCTCGACGATTATCTAATTATTTTAAATTATCAGAGACAGCAGTAATGTGTCACCATTGCTTATATAAATCTGATAATGATCCAGAATATTTGGATTCACCTGATTACCAATTACCAGTTCAAAAAACATCAAGTGAAAATATTAGGAAATTTCAAAATAGAACATACGCTTTACGTGATGATATTTTATATTCTGAGATAGAATTTCAACAATTAGAATCTGCATATCATGAAGTGTGTGCAGAACTTGACGAAGCCAAACTAGGTAAGTAACTAATTATCCTTCTAATCTTTACACACCAATATATTAAAAATAATAATATTGTTTATTATTATTGAACAAAATGAAAATATATATCTTAAAAAAAATTTTTTTTAAATAAAATGATGAATTACTTTTATTGTCAATAATTATATTTAACTAGCTTACTTATTTTATTTTAGAAATGACACCTCTTAATAAAAAAATTAAACTAATGGCAGGTATATTGTATATGAGGCAGAGGGTGAATAACGAAAAACCCATTTTAGAACCTGATGAATTTAATAAAATGTTAGAAGAAGCTGAACCAGCATTAAAAGGTTTTTTTAATCAACTTTATGCTGGAACAAATCCAAAAGATAAAAATAACATGACTAATGAAAAAAATAAAAAAAGATTAGTTTTATTTTGTTATTTTCTGGCAGGTCTGAATAATAAATTCATCAATGGAATTAAAGCTGAAATTGGATATATGTTAGATGGTGCAGGTACATCATCCTCAGCTATTGAAACATTTGCAGGAGCAGGTATAAGCATTAGGCGTGAGACAGTAATGAGGCATAAAAAAAAACAAGAAAATACTCACAATGATACTGTTAGCTCCTTTGTATTAGAACATGTAAGGATAATGCTTATGAATTTTAATTTAGTTGTAATTATATTGCAAACATTAATTTAATTTAATGAATTTGGTGTAGATGGATGATTTTATGGTGGCAAATTTTGATGATTATCATAACATCCATACTATATGACGTGGTGATACAACAACATCCTCAGATGTTCATCACTTTCAAACTATCCTACTAAAAGCAGTTCCAGAATTACCAGCAGTTCCATTTGATAATTTACATGTTGGTAAAAATGTCCACAATCCAAAAGGAATTGATGCGGAGCTTATTGTGGAAAATGTTCAGGTATTGTTTTTTCCTCATCTTTGGTTAACATATAATGAACGTAAGGTTGTTTTTGCTAAAGAATTACCTGAGGCAAGAAACCATGAAGAACGTATTGAGATGTTGTTGGTGCATAGTTATGATAATAGGATACAACAACGAAAAGAAGACAGAAGTATGGATAACACCAAGCTTGTCAACTTGGTTGAAGGAAGCTTACACTCTACAGGAGATTATATAAAAGCTTTAGAAAATATATTTAATGTTCCAGAGTTGAAGGCTTATCTTGAAAAGTTTATACTTGTAGCACCAATGGATTATCCTGGACAGATTCATGTGCGACGTGCTGTTTCAGCTTCTTTTAATTCAACAAATACCCACCAACTCTCACCTCTCCTGCAACATATTGTCCCAATGATTGGACCTTTACATGTTTCATTGAATAGTCGTGAAACAGTTGTAATGTTGAACTATTCTTTTTTCAACAAATTAAATTGTTTTCTCTATTTAAAGAAGAGACCACTTGCAAAAAAACCAAAGCCATACAAAATAAATGTATTACTTGAACTGGCTGCTTCTGGATGGAACCTAATAAGAAAAGAAGTATTAATTAAATTTTGTAATTGCAAGGATCCTGAGGTAAGGTATTTATTAGACCTTTTAGATAATATTATACCATTAGTTCTAGATTTCTATCCAGTTATATTTCGAAGTGGAAATTGGCCTGTGTACAAAGAAGCAATGTTTCGTGCTTGGGTACTCTTTTACAGGTATGGCCGTAAAAATTATAATAAAGTGCCATTA